GAATCATTGTGTACGGTTCAGTGCAAACCAGAACGAAGACGAGCGCAAATTGTTAAAAATAATTATACGAATGTGGCGATTTTGATAAATTGTACCAAAAATTTGCCTTCACCAACAGAAAAGCGAGTCGAAGAAATATGGTTTTGATATTTGTTAGCATACCAAATGTGTGCGTGTATATGTGCACTTGGTAACTTCTGGGAAGATTCGCCATTTCGTACCTCATTCTCATGCGCTATCCTCTCTCCATTGTCTTTCATCTGCTATAGACGGTATAATATGATTGGAGGGTGTTTTCGTATGCATCCTCCATTCGGAGGAAAATAAACACGAGCGCGCACATGTATTTATCTCGATTATTTATTTTATTTCGTTTTAATATTGCAATTGATGTCATCGCTGTGGTAAAATTTGTCTGCTGCTCGTATCATTTTCACCCCTCTGAATTTCCAATTCATGCGCAACTGATGTGATGAGCAAGTGTCCGAGACGTAAAAGTGATGTGAAACAAAAAGTTTCAATGTTTTTTCCATTCGGAATTCAACATCTGCGTACGAAAACTACGACTATTTGATGGCGGTGGCGACGGCGACGGCAATACACCGAATTGTGTGTAAAGTGATACAAATCTGGATTTTTGTTTTCAACATACGAACTCAATCGACAGAGAGAAATTATGCAAAAATACATTTTAAGCCCGAATATGTAATCCAAATCAAATTGGATACCGAATCGGGAGAAAGAGAGAATCCGTTTCGGTAACGGCACATCATTTTGATTTTCCTTTCAGATGATGATGATGATACCGACGACGACAAAAACGAGGTAGCACACTCGTGAAGCCTTATTCGATCTGCATGCAAATGAATGAACCCATAAAAAACACATCGATTGGTATCCATAATAAAATCCATTTTAAATAAGATTTTTATTGTTATTCAATAAAGGGCGAGAAACACTTGCCATCAAGGCGTATATTTATTATTTATCGGTGTACATCTTATCGTTGCTTGCCTAGTCTCATTTCGCCTTAAGTCGAAACACGGTGGAGAGCGGATTCAAAACAGCATGAGAGGAGCAAACAATGGGAAGCGATAGCAGACATGACAAAATAAAATGGGAACCACATAGAAGAGAAAAAAACGTCACCGGGCACCATCAGCCTATGTGTGAGTGCAATACTCTCTTCTCCTCTTCCGGATTTTTATTTTTATTCATAATTTTCCTTTCGACATTTTTTCTTGTTTGTGTATGTGTGTGTGTCAAGCTCTCACTTTCATTTTTTTTATAAAATATTCTTTGCTACTGGTGCCGAAGAACTGTCGAACGCTCCACTGCCGCAGCAAGACGAAAACAAATATGGTAAATTATTCATATAATATTTATTGTAATAGGGCGCGTTTGTTCCACTTCTTTCGGATCTTCTCGCCTGGAAAGTTGTTTTTCGCTTCAATGCGACTCTCTCATTGAAATTCAACATCTTTTGCCAATTTCTTACGTCAGATTGTTGTTGTTTGTTAATATTGTACAATTTTTTTTTCTTCCTTCTTCGTCGATGACTTTCATCGTCCGTTATCGAGCACACTTGCGCTGCATTGACTTCCCAATTCTGTCCTTTTCGATTCTATTATTTTCCATAGAAAATTTCTCTTGTATTGCGACGTTTGTTGCTGTATTGTGTTTGTCATCATCATTCGACAACATCATCCAAAAAATTGAGACAACCGACCCGAAATTTCGCAAGACAAAATGCATATTTGAGCAATGAGCTCCTTTCTTTGCTCCGCGTTTCTGTTCCTCTCTATTTCTCTGTCGTGCTTTCGTCGTTTTGGTTGTGGGGGCCATTATTGATATTGTTATTATTATTTAGTGACGTATTGTGTGGGGAAATTTACATTTCAATAAAGCCAAAAGATAATGCGGAATTTCGCTGATGATGCTGGATAGATTTCGATATGGATAACAACATTGTACAGCGAAACCATTGATGATGCTCTCGTTTTTTTTACTCAGCTAAACACCAAACAAATCGTCTTTTTTGCACGTAATTGAAGCTCATTGTCCGCCTTTAAACGGCAACAACAATGAACATCAGCCGCAAACGAGAATAAAAATCGCCACGTTCACTTTTCGCTTTTTTAGTTCAATAACAGAACAGAAATAGAGTGAAATAAATAAAATATTATTATCTCTGTTATGGTTCGCAATAATAATTTTCGAGGCTTTTTTGCGCTCGCCAAAAGCATTGACATAAAAAAAGAATAAAGAAAATGCTGTTCGACCGAAATTTCATGTTAGGGTACTTCACACACATACACACACTCCATGGAAAGCTGTGGCTTTTTTGTTTGAAACCAGAAAAAGTGTGCTATAAAAAACACGTTATATTTTTGACTCTTTGTGCGAACAACACCAATGGAAAATCAATGAAATGGCCTGGAGGCGCTTCCCAAATTGGTTTCCAACATATTTTTCGGCGTTCAAATGATACAAATACTGAGAATTTTAAATATTTCAACCACCGTTCTATTTCAAAGCCGAGAGGCGAATGGCTTAGTCACTGGTTCCGAAAATATGTAATTGATTTGAAATGACTTCTTGCTGTTGGGCTTGCTGTTGGAGAATTCTCCGCTCAAAATATTATATTATAAATTTATAAATGAAAATGATTAAATTGAAACCAATTCATCGTGGCCGTATGTCTCGTTTTTGATAGCCGATGTTGTGAGTGTAAACATTAAAAATCGATAAAAAAAAATCGAATCCAACGCCCCGTGTGTCGAGAAATCGGTGCCTTAAACCAGTGCCAAGAGCATAAGAGATCAAAATTATACCAAATGGATAGACAAAACATGATAAATAACACATTTTGAGCGATTTTTAAATGGGATCCAATGGTGGGGGAAATTTATAGGAATATAATAACGTAAATTATCGTCATTTTGGATGTCCACCCACGTTTTTATCAATCTGCGTTGTTGTTGTTCTTTTTCCTCCTCTGTCGAACAATGTTTCGTCTATTTGCACCAACGTCTGTCATATTTCTTGTTTTTTTTTTGATTTTCCATTCGGTATCTTGTGTTTCCATCTCAACATGATTTAGACGATGTTGCCGCCGAGTAACGAAGCGCAATTTATCGAGTGAATTTACACAAGTAACGAATAAATTTCGATTTGGCTCGTGATTATGAAAAACGTGGCTATAAAGCGTATGATGATATTGAGCGCCATTCCAAGCAGCACACGCGAATGCAAAAAGACAATTCATTCGACAATGTAAACAAGCCGCACAACGGACTTTCCGGAGAAGTATATAGACAAATTGAAGAGGAAAATACGAAAAAGTGCTCAAATCAAAACATTAACAATTTATTAATTTGTAAATATCGCATGATAATGCTGTGCCTCGCAACCAGCGAGCGAGCGGGCGAAAGGGAGAGGGAGAGAGAGAGAACGAGAGGAAATTTCGAATTATTTATTGTTTTTCTTTTAACGAAGTTTGGTTATTGGTTCTTATTCTGTATGCACGCGGCATTGTGTATTCGATTGCGTTGCTCCGTTTGTTTTGTTTGTTGAAAAATAAATATTTATTCAACATGTTCCAACGCAAGAGCATCGCCACAGTGCGTTCGATGACATCCATTTGGATGCATAATTGAGTAAGAGCATGTCATGCTCACGTATCTCACATTTTTTCCGCTTAAAAATAATAATAATAACAACATTTTCCCTTCGAATGTTATGATTTCTGGTGCTATGGGGCGTTCGCTGCTGCCTATCGCCTTTTATTAAATTTCATTTATTTTTGTCATTGTCGATTTTCGTTCACTAACCAATGCAGCCATTTCGTCGAACAAATAACCACAACATAAAAACGATTTTGTACAGAGAAAAAAGCCCATGAAATGAACAACGGAATATCGGTGTGTGTGAATGTGTTTTTTTTTTGGTTTTTCGTCTGGACATGGAAATAAAATTAAATATTGATTATATGTAATTTGATACGCCAAACCGTCTATCCAATAGACTACACCAAAATAGTAATGAAAACAACAACATCAAAAATTCGCGTCAGCTTCAAAACGGTTTTTAATGGTTCTGATACAGTTACAGTCCAAATCATTGACATCAATATCCAATTTCTAGTTGAAATAAAATGATAGTAAAATCATAGCCTAATCTCTGGTTTTAAACAATCTCCCAAAGAGAATAGAATTTGGGAATGTTTTCAATTTGTAAATCGCAATAAAAATGAAATTTTATAACCATTTACTTTGAACGAAATGATCAAAAGTTTCGGCTGAAGTTCTGCAAAAAAAGAGCGGTTGACTCACTTCGTTCCCGCAATCTTGTTCCACTCGATGTGACTAAAACTATCAAAATTGCCGTTTGGGTCGCTTTCAATTTTAGCATCGATATTGAATTTCCAAATCAAATTACATGTGAATGTGAAAAAAGAGGAATCAATTGTCAAGCATCGCTTTACACTTTCGTCATCATTATCATGTGGTGCCGATGTAAATAGCATAGTTTATGAAACAAATATTCATATCGGAAATATTGGCTGAAAGCATTATTAAATGCACCATGACATCATCTCGACTGACAACGCGATAGAAAGAACACTGGAGCACGACGCTGAACGAGAAATGTTTGAAAAACAGACGGGACGAACAACACTGATTTTTAAAATGTATTTTATGATAAAAGCATTCATCCAAATGTACGTTGTGCATAAGATGCACGTTGATACAGCTAGACCGTGCAGGTATATGAATATCGTGATGAAACATTTAAGCATGATGCATTTCTTGTTGTTCTTCTTCTGCTTCGTTCGCATTTTGAGCCATGTGTGTGTGTGTGTGTGTGTGTTTCATCTTCTTCTTTCTTTCCTTTTTTTAATTCGCCTCATGGCATGCGTATGTGCTGTTCTTTATCGATAGACCCGTTTTGCGATTTTTATTCACATTTTCTTTGTGTTCAAAAAGCAAATCACTTACCCATGTGCCATGTTCTTGCGCCGTTCACTCTTAGGCTTTGTCGAACCGTGTTTGTCCTTTTTTTTCTCTTCACAACACACCACTTTGTTTCTGCAAGTTCTTGTTTGGTGCACAAAATGCATACACGATTTACATTAAACGTTGTTATTGTTGTGCCTTTGTTGCGCTCTTCGCATTCTTTAGTACATTTATTATTGTGTGTCTGCTCGAATGTGATCAATGTTCATAGAAAATTCTGTTTTTTTTTTCTGTCGACTGCAAACGTGACTTTTATTCAACTTCTCTGATGCACGCGTACTGCTATATCGTACTTTTTCTATTTTTTTTCCTTCAACTCAAAAAGTGATTTCGATTTTTTTTCGCGTTTTTTCTCTTTGCTTTGATGGCTATGACACAATGTACCTTCAACTATATGGGGACACTTGTTTCTCTGATTTCACATAAAACGTCAATCGGCATTTTTTACAAATCGTTTTATAGTTATCGATAGTATTTTTTTCTGATATTCAAGAACGTTGAAATAACATTGAAACCTGCGGAGAAAAAAATCGTAGACTTTTAAATCCAATCTTTTTGGTGCTCACATAAAATTTCGACAAAATCACAAAATTGAACCGCCATTGATATTCCAATAAAATTCACTCGTGTTACAAAATTCCAAAAACAAAAGCGAAACAAAGCCAGCGATTTTTTTCTCAAATAATAAAATAATTTGTTATGTTTAATGAAACCTTCAATTTTATTTGATTTTTCGATTTAAATGCCAATTAAATTCAGGTTTAAGTTAATTAATTTCATTTTTCATCATTTTTGATTTCGGAATGCATTGTCGACATTTTAATGAGTAGGGCACAAAAGCCGATGCACGTTGAAAATGCCACACAGATTATTATAAAAAAAAGAGAAAGAATATTTTTTGCTTCGATTTAAAAGATACGGAGAGCAAATGATAGATTTTGACCGAGCCGCGATAACAAAGACAACCAAAAGCGAATGAAAAAAAAACCGGCCTCAACGCTTCTTCAACTTCGACACATACGCAAAACAATACGCTGTGCAATGATTTCTTTTATGATAAAACCGTAGTGAGCACTTCAGAATCCCGAATGCAAAAAATGAAAAAAAAAAATCGGCAAAAATCCCGTGTGTGATTATTTCGAATATATAAGTATATACGTATTAAAAAAATGCACCAAGAATATATTCAACCGCGAGAGGTTCATATACACAAAAGGTAGCTTAACACTTTTTTTCTCCCTCTGATTTTATTCTCTTTGTTTTGCCATTCGAATGCAAAGAAGAGTGAAGAAAGACGAACGAACGAACGAACGCGATGTAAACACATGAAACTAAAGAGAACTAAAGAGACGGGAAAAAATACCACAACGAAATGAAGAATAAATCAACACACGAATAAAACTGTTCCGAAGCGAAGAAATTACACACCACACAGCTGCACCAGCTACGAACAAGCACCGAAGATAAAACCAGACTTTAACAACGAGAATATCGCTACGTGGTAATACGTGAATAAAGAGGAATGATAATAGAAACCAGCGTTCGAGCGACGATGACGACGACGATGAAAGTGTTCCCTTCTTCGTCGGATGTTTAGCCAAAACTGAGTCTAATTTAGAAAATAGTAACTTTTGTATTTGTGTGCCTCACGCTGTATTTTCGTCGATTACGCTTCGCACGTTGGGTGCTTGCTTGCGTGATTTTCTCTATACGCGTCTATATCTGTGTAGTAGCGATGTGTTTGTATTGCATTCACATGGAATTCATTCCACCGTATCCGATTCCACATACACCGCGCGCGTTTTATACATTTTCGGCATTTACAGGCGAACACAAGTCATGCCATAGCGAACGCGAGCGCGGACCAACAAGTCGATGTGAACGCGCAACGCGAACCCACACATTGATAATGCGGATGGTTTCAGCTGTGTTGTCGGTGGTTCCGCAAGTCACGCGACAAAATTTGGTGTTTGTATTCGATTCTTGTTCGTGCGGCTTGCAGCGGCTCGCTCACCATTCATGCTTGAATGGCATGGATTTGGTTTCTCCTCCATGCATAGCCACTGCAAACGAAACGAAGTCATTGTTATTGTCTTGTGCTAGCATCGCAGTCGTCGTCGATAGAGCTAAAACTCGATTTGTTCTCCCAAATTCGGTAGATGCGATTTCAGTTGCCGGAGTAGCGATAAAATCAATCGTCTGCTTCTCTTTTGATACGATGATTTTATCGTACTAGATTATAAACATGAGTAGAAGCTTTGTTCACTATTCTCCTTTGTTCATTTCTCCTCTGTTCATCCGATGGACAAACTCGCTGACCATTTGAGTTCTGTTTTGTTCAATGCAATGGACACCAACTGTATGGGATTTTTCTTTCATGAAAGAATTCCTTGTGTGAAAAAAAAACCTCTATGACATGAAGCCAGTATGTAACGTGTCGCCGTATTTAATTTGTTCTTCTTTTAATGAGTCGGTATCTCGATTTCCCAGGTGAGTTTTTTTTAATAACCAAATTTTAACAGATTTCAAAAGATTGTTAACGTAGAAAATGATCCCGTTACATGTGTTCCACTGCACCAGTGGCAAATTGAAAAGGATAGAAAAAATTGGTTAATCTTAACTCAAGATTAAAAATTAAGATTTCCATTGAAACGTCTTCGTCGCATGCCTTTTTCCAGCGTAACACCATCGAACGAACGAACGAACGAACAGCAAGAAAATTAATTATGAAGTTGATAAAATATTCAGGTTAATGTTGAAGCCTGGAAGTGAGTGAGAATCCTTTTTAAATGTAGCACGTACTGATGCATAAGGCAGTCGAGATTCAATTGATTCAACTGATGAAGATACCGTACATGATGTACTTGTAACCGCTCTCACTCGGTTTGCACGCCATTTCATGAACACTCGAGCGCCAATGCGTGCACGTTTCGTTCATCTTCGTATAACGCCGGATTCATAAAATTTCGAGAAGAATATATCTGCAAAACAACAAAAACTCTGCTACGCGCGCAAAAGGGGTGAGTGATGAACGTTAAGATTGAATACTAGGTGCGGAGATGAGCACCAAATGGCATTAAATCAGTAAAAGTTTGTGTTGATAATTGACACCGTTAGAAAAATTACTTTCTTCCCTTAACGCTGCATGGAAAATGTTAGATGTTGAATGCTCGCTTCCTTAATTGATTGTTTTACATAATATCACTTGCTCTGCTTGATTATTTCAATATTGCATTATGTCGACAGCGGATGGGAAGCACGTTGCCGATACATGATCCTCCTAATAACAACAACCTAATTCTGGACTTTTTTGCTCTCACTCGATTTCTGCACTATTAAAAAGATGAGTAATTATAGAGTTTTTTTTGTCGATGATTCCTTTAATTATTCCTTTCATAGGTAAGGTAATTCAAGATTTCCTCGTAACAGCCAGTTCGTCCGATGCTGTTGTCGAAAAATCATCATGTTTGCACGGCTATAACAGCTACAAGCAGCATCATTCAAAACTAATGGAATTTTAACGGGGGAAAGGACGAAGTGTATTTTTGGCTACGCAGACTCGGAAACTGACGGAAAAGGGTCTGAACGACCGATGTGCCACAGGTCGATTCTCAATAGTCTAAGTTCCCAATCAATTAACAACGTATTTTATATTCAGTTTAAATTTACCTGTTGTGAATGCTTCGTCGGTGTAATATAAAGAGCGCTCTCAGAACACCTACGTTACATTTAGCTGGATCTATATTTATTGGCCCAAAAGTTATTTTGACCTACCTTTATTTTATCACAGACACTGTGCGTCATGCTGTTTCGTTCGCGTCAATTAATTTTTCTTTTAAACTTTGTTTTGACACTCACCGAGTCACCACTGACGTCAGGTTTTTACAACTAAAAATATTTGCCAAAAGACAACCCTGATTGGTGAACATCTTTACACGGCATAGTCGATAATTCGGCTGGAACGAAAGGAAATGGATGAAAGAGAAAAACCACATGATGCAAACACAGTGTTGGCGATAGAAAGACCTCACATGATAAATATACTAGTTTCGTTTGCCGAGCAAATGAAATCGGCACAATTTTACTCCAAGATTGAGAGAGTATTCACTGCAGAAAGACAATCATAATGTGACACAGGCTTTCGACTGTATGACTCATTCAGCGCCGAACAATAGAGTTAGCATTAGCATGTATAAGTATGTCTTGTTTGTATTCCTATATTCTCTGCTAAAAGACCAAAAATGAATGGAGTCTTTTGACAATTGTATCGATAAATTTCTTTAGCTCTCATGTCTCATGCTCTATCTCTGTTTCAGATGACATTGTTTCAACCCCAAACAAGACGACAACGACGCCTTGAGAAGATAATTTTCCATGTAATTGATTCTTATTACGGAACATTTACTGTTGTCCCACTTGTTTTTGTTTGACGTTATAACATCAGCCTTTTCATCTATCCGCTGCATGTTGCTCTCATACAGAATTTCTGCACAGAAATACCATAATGTACACGCATGCAACGCACATCATTGAAATGGTCGAAAATATCACGCATTCGATGAAAGAAGACCACACACACACGCCACTTCAACTGATGGCTATCGAATTGTTAATGATAAAAACATTCTTAAAATGACATTGTACTGAATTATATGGGCTGATATTTGCGCATCGAACGCACCATGTTTGCTCACAGCTTGCTACCGCATTCGAAGAACTGGAAACAATAAAAAAAAACTCATCGAATCCCGAATAGAATGGGAACGAGAATGGAAAATGCACACAAATAAAAGTCAACAAATAAAAAATGATAATTATAGTCTAAAAAGTGATACTGTTAACACAACAAATTAACAGAAATGACAATGCAAAAGGCCAACACCAACAGCAATGGAAAACGAAGAAAAAGAAACCGAAACAAACACACGAACAAAAGAATGGTGTGTGGAATTCTGGGTGGAAGCAGGCAAACCGTTTCAATTTCAAGCATACACCAAACCAACAAATTGCATGCACATCAAGCCGTGTTGCAGTTTAACTATAATTATATTTCATAAAATTCGAAAAAAGAGTGCGTGTGTGAGAGAGAGAGAAAACACATGTACTTGATTGAATTTAAGCGAGCGCCATCGCTCCATCAATTCAGCAGTCTCGATGCAATTATTCATATCGTGTTGCTGCTGCTGTTGGTCTCAGTGAGCCGTAGCGATTGTACTGTGTTTGTTTCCCTTGATTTAATTTAACGAATCTTGTAAATTGATAGCAATTGCGCTTGAATCGGTTTCCTTTTTCTCGTTCTTCAACATTGGTGCGTTTAAATAATCTGTTTAGTCATTCTCCCGAGGATAAATATAAGCGATTTAAACTGCAAAAGAAATGCACGGCAATAATCACAACTGTCGTTTTGATTCGCCTCATCTCGTTTCACATGCATTTTTACGAATTGGCCGGTCAGCCCGCTTCTTAATTTAATTTACAATTTCATTGTAATCGTTTGATTTCAATTTAGTGTGACTGACTGCGTGTATTAGCGCGCAACTTCGGGCAAGATATTTTTATTTTCTTTTTCTCCGCAACTCCCATCTGCGAATGCGCTGGTAGTGTGTTGTTCTCTTATTTTCTTCCATTCAAACAGCGCTAAATGATGCATTGGCCGTAGGCGGTTTTTCTTTTGTTTTCTTATTTTTTTGGATCGTTAAATTTAAAATGCGAAACTGGTTTTGTGTGGAATCGTTGACAATGTGACAATGTTAAGTAGTTCTGAACTGGATGTTCGAATTTGAACTGTCCATATTTGACAACGCCATTTATTCCATTAGAAACGTGAAGAGTAATAGCATGAATTTTGCGGCCATTACAATTTACAATTGAAAATCTAATATTTTTTGTTTAAATTGATTTAGTATGACCTGCAACACGGTGGCAACGCACAAAGGAACCGAGAAAACAATAAACAAATTATAGAAAAGAATCCCAATAAAATTTTATGTGGCCGAGTGCAATTTAGTAAAGATAATGCATCACATTATTTCTATCTGTACCTGCCATGTTTTACATTCCTGAGCAGCTGATTCATAGCTTGTAATTGATATGAAGATACAATCAAATCCTAATGGTCTCCGCTCGTAAGCTGGCAATCGTTACAGTATTTTGCTGCAAGGAAATCATTCCATTGGCGATGGTATGTTACACACTCACAAACACACAAACATATGTATCGAAATCATTATTTGTTAATTGCACCATTACGGAATGGTCGTATGGCAAATAGAATCTCGGAAAAAATGGACTGCCGAGTATAAATTAAAATAAAATAAATATTTATGGTTTTGCTATTATCATCGGTATTTATAGTACGAAATTATTGCGGCTTCCATCGTTGGCGCGCTCTTTCTCTCTTGGCTGGGTCATCGGCTAATTCGTTGGACGCGATGTTTTTCCTCTCTCCGCACGTTAATAATTCTCCGTTCTATGTTTCGTTGCATTGCTCTCGGTTCGATGGTGTATAATTAAATGTAAGCGTTGTATTTGTTGCAGACAACTGTAAGGTCTCTACGTTGTGGCGAGTGTTGAGCGCGC